GATTGGGGAGGACGCCTACCGGAAATCCTTTTCAACTACAGAACAACATCTCATTCGACAAAGGTGATACCACCCTTCGAAGTCATATACGGTATAGAGCCCAGAACGCCTCTTGATGCGTTTCTCGGAAGATCCGGCGAACAGCTTTCCACGAAGGAGCGAGACAAGCTGGAGAGAGAAGCGAGTGAGAAGACCAGGCAAACCCAGCAGCGCAACAAGGCAAGGTACGACAAAGAACACCGATCACAAAAGTGGCAGCCATTCGTACCGGGACAGTTGGTAAAAGTTAAGAATCAAGAAACAACAGGACCGGGGGCCGGAAAGTTCAAGCAGAGGTGGATGGAGCCTTCCACTGTTTTGGAGAGGAAGAACGCCAGTTTTCGGATCAGTCAGGGTTCACAAGGAAGATGGGTAAATGGTAAAAAGTTGGAGCGGTGGTACATCCGCGGCAATCATTTTAGAGGATGGACGAGTGTGATGGAAGGCGGTATAAAGAGAGTCGTGGCTGGCGACCGATGCAAGAATGTGGCTCATCCGACCAGACGCGCAGACGCAGCGGCGGGGAGTGCCTCGCGAGNGCCCGAAAGACAGTCCGCAGCTAACGGGAAAGATATCCACCGAATGCCACAACGTCGGAGCTGTCGATCAACGCATCTCGCACCGCGATCGGGTCAAACCAGTCGGAATGGCACGCGGAAGAAGAGGCAACGTGCATGCCAATTGCGGACCAAAACCAAACAGGAATGACACAATGAAAGAGGCATGTATCATCCCGCCACGCGGTTGAGAATCGATTGTATATAGTCGAACGCACACACCGTTTGCGTTTGAATTGGATCAATAGACGTTTTTCCCAGCCCGCTCGCCTTCTCGCTACAATATGAAAGATTAGAATAACATACTTCTTAGTCACGCTGGTGGATGCGCTTTGACAAATACCTAATAATTCGGCGAATATACTCAATTTTATAGGTACACGTAGATAAATAGAAACAGAAAGAAGCAACAGAATCAGCTTCTCTATCCTTTAACAGTAGATACACTAATGAACTGAATGTGAATGGAATTTAAATCTTACCTTTGTGGACCACCTTTTTTGGCTTCAATCCCTGCCAATGTGTAACCTTCAAATATTAATGAGATTTCCGAGGCCTTTTTATCAGCTTCTGTCCTTCTTGGAAGCACCCCTTGTCGTTGCATCACAGAATCCAATGTGCTCTCGGGAAATTCATTTTGGATGAAGGCTTTCCACATATTTTGAGTTCATCAACCTACATGTAGATCCTTCAGCTGAGTTAACCATGCGCTGAATGACGATTATCTTCTCAATGAGCGATCGGAACCCACTGAACTGAATGTACGGTTGTCTCCACGAGGACTCCCTGAATACTGGCCGTCCTGACGACTTGGGTAGGAACATTATCTGCTTCTGTTTTGGTCAGCAATTTCAATTTCCGATGTGCAGCAATCAAATAGCCAAGTAGATATTTTCAGTCCGGTGAAAAGAGACAACTCATAAATGTCACCCACATCACTCTTGTACTGTGTACATTTTTCGATATTCATGTCAAGTGCAGTATTTTTATTGTAGACATGAAAACTTAAACAAACAACTTTCCTATAAAAGACCCCATTAATACTCCGTCCTTCCGAAGATAAATTTCACAATCGAACTTCAATCGCACATTGCAAATTCAGAAGAATAACAAATTCTTCATCTCATTCGATGGTAGTGCATTAGCATTAACGTTATTTGTGACATAACTGGTCACATAGTCAATGCTGCTGAATACCCACCCACTTTTGGGCGCATAAGGGAAATACTTAACTTGACGTGGTACCACCGATCAGGACAAGTGTGAACAGTAATTTTGGCATTCTTTAATATTTAATCCCATGGGCATTACTTCGATGAGACCGAATGTATCGTTCATGCTATACTGACTCATTGTAATCCTCGCCAGATTCAGAAGACTTGCCGCTGTAGCTCATGCCTGGGCTCGAGATGATGTGAATTTAACTGCCTTGTACTTTAGATAATCTACAAAATGGCGAAATCCAAGCCCGCCATTGGATGAACCGTTCAGAAGTGACGACGTCCGTAGACCCCTCCGATTCGAGATTTCGTGAAGCGGTAAAAATATCCCGCTCCATCTGAGGTGTTTCGTTGTTCTCATGTGACGTTCATGCAAATTTCGATTCATCCTAACAAAATCGCTGCCACCCTCCCAAATGTGGTTTCATTCAAAAGGTATGACTATGTCACAGCCTTTTCATGTTTCTATATATAGTTCGGGTCTGTCTGAATCCCGTTCAATCCGAATAAACTATATATAGTCAATCTCCTGCTATGTCGCACCCCTGAGAAGTAGCATTTTCCAATATCTTCCCACGTTTTCGAAAACCCAAACCAATCCTATGCCTAATTGCGTAGTTTCTGACTATGCGATGTAGCACCCCCCAATATGTCGCAGTTCCTGATACGTACTCACTTGGTCGTTGACCAATGTTCGGGACGATCATTGACCATCCACCCTGAAATGTCGCACACAACCAATGGCGTTGCATCTTGTGTGATGCGTTCATGGCACTGTTCACTGATTGGATATTCCTTTCGATACAGCCAGGTGCAACTCAGAGCTCCGTAGCCAAATCACTTGGAATTTCACGAAAAACTGTCTACAATGTTGTATCCCGTCGAACGACTACCGGGGAATTTTTCAACGCTGGAGCATCTGAGGGAAGATGTCACCTAAAAACCAACGAAACGTTCAAGGCAGTGAATGAGGCAACTTTGGCTTGGTTTACAGCTATAAGGGAAAAGCACGGAGAGCTCCCAATGGAGGAGAGCATCGTACGTAAGGAGGCAATCCAGCTCGCACAAAGATTGCATCATAATGACTTCAAGGCTTCCAAAGGTTGGTTTCGCTCTCGGTCAGACAGAGATGCTATTCAATCGTACAAAGTAAGAAACAAGCAATTCATGTGCATTACTTTATATGTCTGTGGGGAAAGTTCAGCGGTACCACGTGATGCAGTGGGTGAGTTTCGAGAGGGGCTACCGCAGTCAATCAATGGATATGCTTACTGTGACATTTTTAATGTAGATGGAACAGCCTTGTATTACAGGCAGCTCCCAGAAAGGACATTGAGTCTGAAAGGAAAGACAGTTTCTGGGTTCAAGAAATCCAACGAGAGGGTCGCGTTACTACTTTGTGGGAGCATGACTGGAGAAAAGTTACCTCCGTTGGTGATTAGAAAGTTTCAAACTCCACGATGCCTCCGAGGTATGGATAGAAAAAGTCTGCCATGTAGTTATAATTCTTCAAAGAACACATGGATGACTTCTATGTTATTTCACAGTTGGCTGTCCGATGTCAACCGTAAAATGGTTTCTAAAAGGCGATCTTTTTTACTATTTATGGACAACACCCCTTGCCATGGTGATTTGGTCTTTCAAATGTTCGTTTCGAAAACATTTACTGTGCAAACTGAAAACTGATATGTTTTGTCTTTGATCGAAGATGAGCAACGTATCTTGAAAGCCGAGGTGAACATTCACATGGCCATGCATGTGGTCAAGAAAGCTTGGGTGTCTGTGCACCTGCACGTACTGATCAACGCTTTCATGAAAGTAGGGTTCAAATCCACATTGCTTCAGCCGGTGATGCCGCCACCAGAGGATAAATGCGATCTGATCGAGGACTTTACTTATTATGTGCCTATTGATGCCCGTCTTTTTGAAGAAGAAATCGCTTGTTTGGAATTTCATGATGAAGAAGTGGGTTACATAACATTTTTGTATCAAGTCTCTTTTTAGCCATTAGGTGAATTCGTTTCGAATCAAGCTAAGCATCGCAAAGAAGAAGATGAAGGTGAGGCAGTGAATGCGCGGGAAGTTATCTCAATCAGAGAGGTGCAGAAGTTATTGGATCAATTGAAGCTGTTTGCCTTGGCTACTGCTCGGAGTTCGGGTAGATTATTGGAGTGTACAATTGATTTGAACAGCACGTTTGTTGATTTCCAACGGAGAGTCAAACTGAAACAAACGACGATTTATGGTTTTGCCAAAAATACATTTTTGTTATATGCAAATATTTTTTGCAATTCTGTGGGGCGCTGAACTGAAATTTGAATGTGGTCACTTTTGCTACAGTGGTCAACAAGGCGACGGTCTTTCGGTCTATCGATGGGCTCTGTCGCACTGAGGTGCAAACAGGTGCACGATATTCGCGATTGACTGGTAAGCGGGTGAGTGTAGTGAGATGTCAGATCCGAGCGATCGATAAACACTATCACGCGGACATGCCTGTGTGAATGAATGAACGTTACTCTCACTTGTCTTAAAGCACCGATGAAATTACACAGGTCACTTGCCAAAGGTCATCGTAACCCTGGCCGTAGGGACGTTTGTGAGATGCACTTTTAGTTTATGAATCGTTAACTGCTTGAGAGTTGCCGTGATTCCTGTAGGCTGACGTCTATGGCCTTCGGTTGGCTGAACGGGTGTGATTTTCTTCAAAGTAAACTCCAGTCACACCTACCGGAAAATTTGCTGGAGAACCCGCTTAAAAAATGGTGCGTGTATATCAGACGAGTTAAACGTTGGCCCAGTGTCATCATCGCTCGAACTTTTTCGTTCCGAATCTCCCACATGACGTATCGTTCCACGACCGAATCTCCTGTGGTTATTCTCTACCAACTTAAGCAATATCCGGTTCAGAACTTATCCTCCTCCTATACCGTGCCATAAATCACACGATCGGTCGGGTTCACTTATCGATCGGTCGGACTATCGGACTACCCACATAGCAGCATGACATATTCAATTGATACTCGGACATCTTAAGTTGAAGAAAGTATGGTTTATGAATCACGTTAAGACATCACTAGTTGAGCTTAGTCCGACTAACAGCGGTCGTGATGAATGCATCAATCGGTTTGAACATACACCGGTAACAATAGAAGCGAACGAATGAATGTCTACAGACGCTAATGATACACATTTTTCAATAGAAAATCATGAATGGATTGCACAATGAACAATCAGTGTGAATATGGGAAGGAACTCAGTGCTCTGAGTATATCCCGTAACAGATATTTCACTCATTTATGCTATTTCCATATAACTGTATTCAAACTGGTTCGCCTTTGTTTTCCTTGAATGGATTTATAATGGTGTGGTTATTATATCTAAAACAGTTGTTTAATATGGTGGACGTCATATAAACAATTCTGTGGTTAGCCTAACATTGCAACGAAATGCAGGAATATCTGGAATTATTACGGGATAATTGGGTCAGAAAAGGTTCCTCTGAAGAAAGGTAGGTAGTTTCTGGATAACTGAACACAGAACTGAAAAGAGCTGAATGCCGCATGCAGTGCACCGATATTAGGCTGAGGGGGTCATAGAAGATTTGCATTTCTTTGATACATACAGGATACGCAGGACGGTAGATCTAAATTCCGCTATAAATAAACAGTTTATAATTATAAAAATTGGAAACAACTAACCGGATTAACTTAATTTTCATCGATCTGGTTTATTTTGTCACAAAACGGTCAACCGATTTTTATACTACTTATCAGCATCTACTACTGTTTATCCTGGTATGTCGCAGTTCCTGGAATTTATCCACTTTTTTGAATTCTCGAGGGGTGCGACATAGCAGGAACTTGACTGTTATTACTTTAGTGTTTTTCTCCCAGTACCATAGTGATTATAAGACCTTTTTTCTTCACCAAGCAGTTTGTCCTTGATTTGACACTCTGACATTGAGATAAGGGAACCAAATTTGTTAGACGATCGTAAAGTGCTTTTCAAATTCGAACTCTTTATCTCAAATTACTCAAACTTATTTTCCCGAACTACAGAGCCTTGACCCTAGGGATAATGTATGCATGAAAATATTTGTCTAGAAGATAAGTCGTGAATTAATGTGTTCCGATCTGTTGGAAACTCGTTCATCGGCTTTGAGGAATTCAAATGCCTCATAAGAAATAAATGTTTGCGTTCTACTTGTTTCAGTACAATCAAAGTTTGGCTTGTAGTGGAGTCGTTTGGTTCAGGGCTGATAAAAACAAAATAGCTGTTCTTTACTCATCTGTGTTTGAACTCATCAACGGTGTGTACGCTTGTGCAACTGACTGGAACTGGTAGCCTAAACCGTCACCCCTGAATGATAGGTCCCATAGTGAACAAATTGAGTGCATGACTCAATTCGATAATCTAGGCATTAATTTTCTGGACTTTCGATGGAGTGTATTTGCAAACGTCCGAACGGCACACGAGGATTCCGACCAAATCATCACAGAAGGCTGGAAGCAATCAACACTTTCTTTCTTTCTTTTATCGTTAAAGTTATTTCTGCATAAATGAATTTTGATTCGCACTGTGCGATCACAAGAACAGTGAGTGGTTTTCACCTGATGTATTTTTATCTATCCCCCGGGATGGTTTCACAGTCTACCGTTTAACCAATGGTGAACCAGTTGGAAAAATGCAGCCTTACAGGTAGTCACTAAACAAATTAACGCTCAAAAGACCTCTCTCCCCGATAAAGAGCAACAATTATCAAAGTTCTGAATTCACGCGAAATTCGGGGTGAGATCAATTCGTCCGTCGAGACGTGTTTAAACGACAGTAGATTTTCTCATCAGGCAGCACTAGAGACAATTATGTCAACACTCACCTTCGCACCTACGCTAAAACAACACAGTGTGTGCACGAAATGATGCGGAATGATTGTGTGTGTGCACGTTTTCTTCTGTAGGTCTACTGTTTAATCGCTCAGGGCTTTTGGTGAGTCGTTTTTCCCTGCACATATGTCTGTTGCTGCTGCCTTCATCCATAAATGTATTTCACCTACTCGGAAAACCTGACTGCCATTCTCGTCTGCTGCTTTTCCTTCAACCACTCGCCCACCCCGATCAACCCAACCGACTTCACAACCTGTTCGAACTGCAGAACAATCGATATGGCTGAACAGGGCGGGTACCCCAACAGGCATTTACACTATTTTGAATCGGTAAACACAGTGCTGTTTCTCGTCTCTCTGTCCGAATGTGTGGACACAAAACGCAACACAATTCGCGAAGTAAGCTGTTCATATTGAAGCAGAGTATTGTGTCATTTTCAAATCTAAGCTAACCAGTGGATAGTTTGTAAGAATTTACTTGAGTTTGATCAAGTAAGTCACAACGAACATGATTCTGATCAAGTTGGCAGTGATTGGTTTTTCACGTTCACTTTCCTTTTCATGGACACACTGAGTTATGTAACTGCTCGCTTTGGTCATTTTGCTGTTTAAAGAAATGCATCTTATGTGAAATTGTTGTTTGAGGTATATACACCGATTTCGAAAGAATTAAATAGTATAAAAGACAGCCATCGGAATATTTTATCCTTTGTTTTACTTCTGCCAGATTCGCTATCTTGTACCCCCCAGCAAGGTTAAACAGATTTTGGAGACTGCATTCTTGAGTTATATCAACTCATGTAACATCTATTTGTAAGACGAAAGATTGATCTTGGTTAAAATGAATACATAGAGACCTTCCAAGGCGGAAAGCTGTAACAAAAGCTGATAAAATTGTGATCTTTCTCCTCAAAAACTCTGAAAGCGTGGTTAAAATGAACTGGGATCATATATTTTATTCATTATATTTTATCTTATTATTTATTATCAATATCTGTGCCAGAAAAAAAACAGCTCACAGGGCGGTAACAGACAGGAAACAGGAGGTTAGCTGATTCATAAAAATCACCAAAAGTAATCTATACCTAGGAGGGAGTTTAAGATTAGTTTAACTTGTTGCCCTTATTGTGTTAATGACTGCGAGGGGTTTATAGGGAATAAGCAAAAGTCCGGGTTCGCTCGGACGTACTCTGTCGGGGTTCAGAACGAGTGAGGGGTTTCGGCGAGATAGTGAAGGGTCCGACAGAGAATCATTTTAGCAATGCTACCACAAACGACCATATTGGTAGGATTGCTTCCAAAATAATATGAGAAAAGCCTGCTATTATTCGAAAAGCCGCAGTTTTCAGAGTGGGACAACGGATAATGAATGAAGAGGTATAAACTAAAACATTGCAAACTTAGAGCTAAAACAATTTCGAAACAACCAATTGCCAGATGCAGATTCTACAGATTTTTCGAGTTTAAGGTGATTCACTTCGAGATTTTCCAGCACACACGAGTAAGTGTGTTGACCAACAAAGATTGCAGTTTGAAGTGACATCCAAAAATATTCAATATTTAGCACTGTGGAGTTTGCAGAACACTAGACGATAAAACACTACATCAATATTGAATACAGATTCCTAGGTTCAAATGCTTAAGAGATTGGAAAGCGAAATGCTGAATCTGAGACAGACACTTGATGAATAAGTTGAATTAAGCAAGGTAAACGTTAGACGCTTAACCATCACTTGAAGGGCAGAGCTGATCCTGTGTACAATTACAGCTGATTAGCGCGAAATAATGCTTTTCAGATTAAATTTGTTCAGGGGAGCAGTGCGCAATGTTCAGTCGCAAACAGCTGAATTCGAGACATTGAATGTAGTACAACAGTATTGTATTTGTGTGTTTTTGCAAATGAGTCATGTTCAAAACCGACGACACGTGGTTAGGAAGCGTTTGAGGCGCCGGAGCCTGCACATATAATGTCCGATTCCTTCGTGAGGAACGTATTGGCTGGTGAACGGTGTATTCCCATCCCATACCGAAGTGTCTCCAATAACACTTGAAATGCATCGAAGGACAATCGTCTTGTCTACAAGAGAAGAAATACAGTTGACACAAAACTGCATTCCTTTTA